GTGGATGTTAGATGACAGAGGGTAGGAAACAAGTAGGTATTTTTCCCCACTGAGGAGCTTATAAAAAACTTGCCTTGAACATGTGTCCACTTGTGTGCATTCATATTCTTGTACACTCTTAACGATCACTCTTTTCAACACCAATCTCTCAGAAAGACTCCAAGTCTTAGTGCTTAGTCTTATGACAATAATGGTTCTTGAGAAAACTGTAGCCTCAGAGTGGAACCAAAAGGCTCAGAAACTCAGAGGGGACAAAAGAGTTATTGGATTTGTTTCAAGTGTTGAGTTTCTAAATAGCTTTTGAGGTGTTTTTTTCCTTGAGTTTTTAAGGATTTAATGCAAGAAATATTCAATATGATACATAATACTCAGCCTAAATCAAATAACAGACAAAAATGCACAAAAATGAACAGTAAATAATTAGGAGAGCAGGACATGAGTTGTTATTTTTGGAGTCCTTTCCTTGTGCCTTAGTGACAGGACCAGATATTTCCTTTGCATAGCAAACACATAATAATTTGGTCTAGGCTCTTTTGTCCTAAACCACACAGGTGGGAAGGAGAACCAAACCTTTTCCATGAAGAAGCCTGCTGTGCACCCACATTTTTCTGTTGTTCTTTTAAAACACCTAAGAGTAAAGGCTATATGCAGACCTTGAACCAGAAATGCAAATATCTCAAGTGAGCCTCACAAAGTTAAAAAGTTCATTTAAATTACAATCCTGTAATTCATTTGGTATAGTTATTTACTGTTTTATACAACAGTAAATGGAAGGAAAAGTGAACATTGGCATAACAGTAGAATACTTTCTAAATCTTCTGTGCAGTGTCTGTAGGAGTTGTCTTGGTAAGACTCTTCTTCTCAGATCCTCTAACCAAACTAAAAGTTGTGGGTGGATAGATAGCAAGAGGTGTTAAAAGACAGACATAAATAGCTCTCAACATAAGAAAGGGCCATCATGGCCATGGACACCCATGGGCAGTGAGAGCAGTCAGAGGTGCCCATGGAACTAGCCAGGTGCTACTGCTGGAAATACCTTGGAATTACCTGTTCCCTGGGACATGCAACAGTGATGGTGCTGACCACAAAACACTCTATAGAGAGCTTTATAGTGCCCTACAAATCACGCCCAGATAAAATTTGTGTTTTGAATTACACTGACAAGCATCTGCAGGTTAGTGATTTCAGATGTTTCCAGTTTGTTCACACCCACATCTTTGCTAGTGGAAGAGTGTAGTTGAGGGCTTCCAGGTTTATGGCACTTCTTTTAAGCCTCTTCTTCTAAGGTGAAGAGAGACTTAATGCACATGCAGTGCAGAGATGAAAACTCAAGGGAGCTGCTAAAAGACTATGATTTATTAAGGACTTAATGCCAGATACTTCATACCACTATGTGCTGAAATGACTCCTTGTCACCCCTTTTCTATTTTTACCCTCTTTCCCTTTTCCTGTACTCACTTGCCATAGAATTTGAATTACTATCTTCTGTAGCAAATACCAACCATTTGGGTTAAGTAATCAATTAATTGGCAGTTTAGAATATATGCTTTAGCTTTCCAAAATGCATGCACTGCATTTTTCCACAGGAATGGGAGAAGAATATATTTGTGTTTGCTAAATTAACATGTCTTATTTTTATATCATGCACCAATATTTGTACCTCTGTACATCACTGATGCTATTTTGAATAGGGTCACTGATGTACAGAGGTACACAATCCTCCTCCATTTTCTTCTTCCCATTAAGGGTCTCAAGCAATCTGTTAAAATAGGTGGTCTGCTGATGAAAACCTCCAGCATAAAGCAAAACACAAAAGGTAGTCAGAAGTTATGTAAAAAACTAAGCCAAAACAAAACCAAGAAACTCCAAAAATCAAGGAATATCTCTAACTGGGGTCTAGGCATTGAATGATATGTTAGCAGTTTCCAGGAAAGCTGATGATCATTGTAAACCTTTAACTTTCTGGTTCCTTAATTATAAATATATAGTGAAAAGAATACAGAAGCAGCTATATAAAGTCATTGCCTAGGAAGAATTACTGCTTTTGTGCCAAAAAGCCAGCGGACCCAAAGGGGTGGGTAATTGCCCTGTCCACATCAGCTGAAGTGAGGGAAGGTGTGAATACTCACACAGGGTGAGGGTTTCTCCACTGTGCTCTCTGGTGCCTTTTCCTCTGTGCCAAAGACCCAAACAGAGTGAATCTCTTAAGTCTCTGTGGAAACTTAATTGGTGTGGTGTTGTAGTGTGCTTTTGTACTTTGTAATACTTTGTAATAGTTTTGGTTTTGTATCCCCTTATTTTCCCAAATGGTGTACCCCTTTTTGTACCCCCTTCCTCTACCTGTATAATCATTCTCCTGTGTTGAGATCATCACCAAATCCCCGCCCTGGCTCTCTGTCAGTCACTCAGCATCCCATCCCTTCTATCTAGAGCTTTCGGTCCAAGTTGTCGAGTGATTAGTCAGACAGGCCAGGGGTCAGCCCCCCAAGTATTATTTTACACGCTATCCCAAATGTCCATCTTTAAGGTTGCATCCCTGGAGGGTCTTTATTGGTCAGTAAATGTATCTACCTTCGGTTTCCTCCCCCCCTTTAAATGTAACCTTGAGATTCCTTTTGTTTTACTCTGAGCAAGACGCACACTGAATTGAGGGGCTCCCTTGGGAGCTCTGAATAAACCTTGGACTGGCCCCTTGCTGAGAGTCGGCCTTTATCCTCTACCGATGTCTCCAGTGTCTCCTCTGCTGCAAAGGCAACTAGCCTAGCTGCCCTCAGTACCCTCAGGGTACCAGAGAGTGTCCCCCCGCTGCCGGCTGCTTCGGGGCTGCCCCCCGTTGTCTGCCGACCTGGGGCTGGCCGGGGTTCACTGGGAGGCACCCCCAGAGAGATGGAAACAGTGTGGTACAGGAAAGGCATAGTTGATTTTTTTCAAATATTGATGCCCACTGGCCTGCCCACATATATCTGGAAACTCCTTTGTGGCAAAGTGGTGCACGGGTATTTCAAAAGGAGTCAAAGAAAATCAGCTGAAGTCTAGCAAAGGTTGAGCAAGAAGGGAAACGGTGACCATGTGTTCACTGCTCTCTACCTTACTTGGAGATGTTGGGCAGCCAGGACTTGGAAGAACATCAATTCAACCACAGCCCCAAATCTTCAAATGTACCTTAGGCCCTAAGCCTATTTTTTGTGGGTTTTGTGTGTTTTGCTGTTTTGTAGGTGTTTTCTAAGATGTTGAAAAGACCAACACTATGGTTCCTACTTGCCTCAAATACAAGAGCAGCACTCTGGCTCTTCATTTTGCATTTTCTTTTTGCATTTGTGTGTATGAAAAGGAAGTTTAATCATGTTTTCCATTCTTTCTTTGGAAAGACTTAGGGAAAAGTGCTAGGGAGAAACAGAGCTATTACAGATAAACTTCCAGATTATCCACAGCTAGAGTTGTCAAAAATAGCACACAACTGGAACCATAGCTAAGGCACAATCAGAGAAAGACAGAGAAGCTCCTGGAGTTTAATGTTGAAGTAGGAAGAGATACTGAGGGCCCTGATCACCAATAGTAATTAAATGTCAAGGACTGTGGAAGGATCTCTATAGATCTTGCAAGGTATAACAAACAAGGACTAATTGTTAAATAGGATGATCACTCTTAAAAATTATACATCATTCTATGAATTTTGATGAGGATGAACAGATATAAGGTATTAATTGCTATGTGATGGTTAATATATCCTCATATTGGGATAGTCCTAATTAAAAAAAAATATATTCGCTTTGGCAAGATTCATCCCAGGATATGATACTATTAAGTATGAGAATAGGCATTAAAATTCTGCCTGAAAAAAGCATGCTAGATAGTTTGGGTCCTGGATGAATTTCATCTGTCAGTTGATGTTATTTATCTGCAAGTGTTTACCATAAAAATGGTTTTATAGGGGACCTGGTTTGTAGCCTACAAATACTCTGGTGATGTTTAAGGGAGCAGAAGTGTTTCTGTTGTCTATAATATGAGGATCTGGGGCCTTGAGATCAGCAACTCAAAATTATTGAACAGTTTATATAGCGCAATACTCCAGTAACATCTTACTGTCAACATTTCATTCTACCTATAAAGCTCTCCTTGCAAAGTTTGTTGCAACAAGTATTTTTTCCTAGTCTTGTTGCTATTGGGAACTTAAGAAAGGAAGCATAACTCCCAATAACAGAGACTCAATAGCCTGCCTTGGTCTGTTCTGTAGTGTAACACATATGGTCATCATTCTTTTCCCTGCCTTGGCAGTAGCACTATTAAAAACTTGTCCTGGATAGTGAAAACTAAATCTGTTGCCCCACACAGGACTGAGCTCTTATAAAATGTGAGCCACGAGAGACAAATTCTTTCTAAAGTTTTGACCAGAGCAGTGAATGTAAAGACTGACTTTTAGAGTAGAGTGATCTTATTTGTATGGTGCAGTTTGGAAGTGCTGTAGTTTCATGAGTATCTTTGAGTAACTAAGAGGTTATGTAGGATGAAAAGCCCATAGGTTAGCAGCAGTACAGGCTCCATCCATGTGGTAATATGAGTGGAACTTTATTCCAGAAGCACCTCTGCCTATACCTCTTCTCTACCCCTCAAAGTCCTCAAATGCCATCTTTTTTCTCTCTGAGCAGAGAACTCTTCAATTTCTGCTTCTGGTAACGTGGGGACCACCCAAGGATGGTATGAACATTATTTCTGAAGTATGTGAACTTTTGAAGAGGTATGATCTGAAATGTGAGCTGAAATATGATGTAGAAAGCTTGGAATCAGATCATTCCAAAGCCATCTGAGTAATAAGTCAGCAATAGTGTCAGCTCTAGCTCAACTAGCCTATCAGTTCCAAGATTTGTGCAGTCATCTTGGTACCTGTTTCATCAGTATCCATCTGCATTATAATCTTGCAAACAAACTTGCCATTTGATTCAAGTTTATAGTAAGTTTATTAAAATTCAAAGCCTTCTGTTAGTAGCATATATCAATTTTAAGATATTTCCATGTACATAGTTCTCTAGGGCAGGGAGTTCCTATGAGTTTGTGAAATACAGATTCCAGCCATGGTTTGTTCTTATTCAAAGAAAAGCAATGGGAAAAGCAAACCAATTGTTTCACGTTTGTTTCACATGAGGGCAAAACTGAAGTAACTTCACAGATGGCATTGGTAGGATAAGGCTTCCCCAGGGCAAGACCGAGCAGGGTTACATTCATTTAGTTACACTGAATTACTCCACATCATCCCTAGGTGAGAATATTCACACACACTGTTGTGAACTGAGCTAATAAATAGTGCAATACTGTGTGTAAAAATAGAAGACTCAAGGATCATCTTCTGAATATGGCACTGATCAGGGAATAGCCTGAAGCATGAAATCAGTTTGTATAGGTTATATAAGAGTGACTGACTAACTTAGACAGCACCTTCTTAAAACCAGCACTCAATGCAGAATGTTCTGGTCTCCATCAGCATGGAGGTCTGCACTCTCCCAGCCCTGTGGGTGGTCATCCTCACTACACTGAGTGAAACTACCAGTCATTCACCATTAAATGCCATCCTGATCAGGACAGCAAAGATGAGATGATATCTACATTCAGCTGTAAATATATATTAGCAAGCATTTCAGAAAATAAACAGACTAATAGAGTTCAACCATAAAATGAAGAAGTCTCCAGGCATTCAACCAGTGATGAATAGATTCTGGTGAGTTTGTGTTTGTTCCAAGATTTTATTGCCACTTAATAAATAGGAAATAAAAGCAGATCGTAAGGTTTTCCTCGATGTTTCATGCAGCACTGATGATGATTCCAGCTGGTTGGTCTTAGATACTTGGATTATTTGCGTTTGGCAGCACGTCTTTCATCTATTCTCTTTATAGCAGCCTGAACCCATTTCTGATTAGGACTTACACAGATCTTGATACCTCCTGCAGTGATGAACCTATTGGAAAAAGGAAAGCAAACCAGGCAGCCATAAAATTCTAGTCTCTATACACAGGTCTGTTGTTCTTGGTTTATATTCAGAACATAAGTAAAAATGTGGTAAAACAATATCAGGTGCTGAAGTTTGTAAATGTTAGTAAGACTAACACCAGTTAGTGATGTCAGTTCCCTGTTCATGGCATAGGTACATATGTAGCATACATGGTCATGTACATATATGCTGATTTTAGATAACTGAGCATACCTGCTATTCTGGGACTTTATGCTAAATCTTGATGAGAATTTATCTCCCAGGAGCTGATCCCACTTGTGATAAAAATGCATACATCTGAGCTCAAAGGACCAAACACAGCTCCTGGCAAGACTCAGAGTTACTCCATATTCTTTCATGTGATCTTTCTCCCTGACTCACTTCATGCACAGGGCCTCTGACTGCTCTGCCCTTGTTGAGATTTTTCCTCACTCACTGGGCACAAAGATGTGAGCTGGTCAGTGAGCTTCCTGACATTATTTATGAGCAGCACACATCTGTCAGCTCTCTGAGGCCTGCTTGTGTCCCCTCACTCCCTCAGTTGCCATGTGGCATGAAGGAACTGGAAGGGTGACCTGGACTAACCAGATTTAGTGAGTTGGGCTAGCAGAATTGAGTTCTGCTGCCCCTTCCCTATTTGATGGTTTTGTGTTTGCATAAGGAAGTCTGAAGGGTGCATGAGATACTTACATGATGGCATCTGTTGGTACTTGTTGCTTTTCATAGCTCACAAGATTTCGGATGTTCAACTGCTTTGTAGACAGATCTACACACCTGAATTTGCGCATGGATTGACTGATAGCGCTCCCTAGAAGGGAAAAATAGATAAATTACAAAGGGAATAAATACTTTTATTGATATTTAGCCATAATTACTTAATAAACTTGGAATTCCAAAAGATTCCTAGTGATGGTTAGACCATGAGAGTCTCATGATGTACAGCCACAATACCAGTCATACCAGAGAGCCTAAGCTATTTTTTGTGATGCATCCTACCATCTCTAAATTGTTGTCTATCCCTATGGAGTCACTGCCTGCATAGCAATAGAAGAGTTTGACATCATTCATAATTAGGTCTACATCATCTGCAAGTAAGCACGCATATGGAGGTAACATTTAGAACTGGCATTTTATTGGGTGTATTTCCATATATCTTTTGAATATGGATTAGAAATTCCTCCTTTTTTCCAAAAGGAAAGTGAGCCTACTTCTCTCACATTCAATAGCAGTATTAACAAAAATTGTTAACAGAAAGGGAGAAATACCTGCCAGTAGAATAAGTGCTTATATCCTCTGGCTATAACTCTGATTTCATAGGCGGTGGGGTGCTTCTTAATCCTTGCATTCCTCCAAGATTTTGATACAATTCAGAGAAATGTAGTGGTGATTAAGAAAGAGGATCACAATATTGGTATAAAATTTTCTGGGCACTTGTTATCTTACATGATGATAAGTAAAAATGGGAGCTCACTTAAATACAGTGGAATTTACATTAGTGTTATTCTCCATTGCCAGTTCCTGGTTTTCTCCTGTTCGTGGAAGACAGATTTGGGAAAGCATGCAGGGGACAAAAAGTACACTGCTCTACTCTGTGGTTTGTTTATAAAGAATTTGGAGAGGTACTGGCTTGAGAAAAGTCCAAGAGCTGTTGTGGTGCACCTTGCTAAATGTAAAACCTGCTGCACACAGTCTTGCCATTGAAATAATTGGAGTAGCTGAGACAAACGCAAAGACAAACTTTGGAGAAGGTGTGGGATAGCCATTGCACAGGTACTGGCAGATCTGCTAATTCCTGAGATTTTGTTTGCCTGAAGGAATCTCCCTTCTGATCTTACTTTAGTAATGAGTAACACAATGTAGATTTTTTAGTGTTTCATGACACATTTCTTACTGCCTCAGACTGGTTTTCAAAATGTGACATTAAAAGAGCTCAAAGACAGTCAAGCAATTGTTACAAGTCCTGGAAATATTTCTCCTGCTACTGCACAACCTTCAGGGAATGGATGCAGGGAATAGCAGCAAAATTTCTCAAGACTGGGAATAAACCCCCACTGATCTGCACCTAGAACTACCTTATTTTTCAGGTGTATTTGGGGTTTTTTTCCCATTCTTTCTAATCCTTTTTTCTCTCCCTTGTAGACCATGTCATTGTGCTTTTATCAAACTTGGTGATACTTTGGGCCAATTACACAGCCTGGACAATGACATTGTCTGTGATATGAAGCCACTGTTGCCAGGATGAAGGGCAGTGTCACCAATGAAAATAGGAGAATGTAGCGGGGTGTAGCTGCAGAGGCAGTGGGTCGGCATGAAGGCTGTGTAGCCTCATAGACCTGTGAATGCTTAGCAGGCCACAGTTTGGATTTGGAGTGGTTTTGTGAGGATACCTTTTCTCTGTGTTTCTGACTGCATATTTATGGATTTGCATATAGCTTGCATATCAGTGGTTTGTATGAAATCTACATGTGATGATATGACGTTTGTAATGGGAATATGTTCATGTTTCTCCACGATCCATGGAGCCTAATCCAAAATTACTGACCTAACCAGCACTGCAGACAAACCTATTTAAAGCATGGCTAATAAACATGACTCATCTCATTGTTCATAACTGGTTTGAAAGAAGATGTTCAAGTGTATGAATTAGTGAAACGAGAGAAGATATTATATAAATCTATTACTCCCCTTTTTAGTTATTGTTCTTTTTTTCCCTGCCCGTACTAAAAGGTTTATCTAGAAACAATTCCATAAACAATATGGAACTTATAAACCGTGGAGAACTTCTTAAAATGTAGATATTAGAAAGATTAAGACTATATTGTTAGAGGAATACATATAACAATTAATACCATAAAATTAATATAAAAATAATATATCCGGATAAAGGAAAATGTACATATTATCCTAGAAAGATTTTTCATGACATGTTGTTAACCTATAGTACACATGTATATATGGTATCAATGAGACTACAATACATGGTATATAGCATCAGTGAGACTAAAAGACATTGTGCCTTCAAGAATTCTTTGATTTTAAGTGGGAAACCATTGCACAGAAAGCCTATAAGGGCTCTCAGGCACAGAATCTATCCTTGCATCAAAAGAGACACCGACCACCGGCAGGACATCAGATGAAATCCGCCATAAAGCTGCCTTTCTTGCAGATTTCATCTGGATGTCTTGCGTGTTTTATCTTATAAATCAGCTCTCTGCAGCAATTAATTTTGCTCATAAGACCACAGGTGCAATGCGGAGCAATTCTTGTCATCCTCTTGACTTGCAGGCTTACCTTTGACTGTGTGCACAGTGAAGACACCAAGCCAGAAGAGGAGCAGGATTGCTGCGGTGTGGAGCTTCATCGCTGTGGCTTCTGTGTCAAGGCAGAGCAGAAATTGTCTACTGTCAGGCCCCTATCTCAGGGTTTATATATTGTCATTCAGTGGGCACTTCTTGTGTTCATTTTTATGGTGTTCTGGAGGGTCTGACTATAAGTGGAAAATTTGAGTTTGCAGTACTTTTTCTGGTGACAGAACCGCCTCCTGTCCCGTACCAGTCCTTCACTAGCCCTTCTGAGAAGGCTTTTCCTGCTCAAACCCACTGTGGTTGCACTCGCTTCTGTACTGTGACTTGGGTTTATTTCAAGCTGCAAAAAGTGAGAGCTCTTGTGCAGTAGTGGAAACCTGTAATAAATGTTCCTGTCATTTCACACTTCAATTTTGAGACCTTTAGTGGAGCCGCACCGCAGAGACACAGAGTGACATTGAGAATTACCTCGCTGACCAATGAACCACTGGAAGGGGGAACTGTGAGCTGAAGGATGATGGAAACAGGAACACCGTGGCTCTTTCCAAGCAGCTGTGGGTGGTTTGTCACGTTAACTTGTAGCTGTGGAGGGGTATCACTGCTATTTCTTATGAGCAGTGGATGTTGTCAGAATGCTTGTGTTTGCTCTGTGACTTGATATGGCCAAAGCTGATATCACTGTGCTGGAAGAAGCAAGATTGAACACACCTTTGGATACAGATCCAGATCCAGTATACCTCCTGCCAATCAGGCATAACTAAAACGTGATGGTTTCAAAGAGGAATGAGAGTTTGTAAAGGGTTTCTTTGCTTGGGTTTGGATTTTTTGTGGTATGAACTTTCTAGTGCAAAGAATGAGGCCCAAGAAAGCAACTTGGTAATCAGAGAGGTACAATTTGTAGAAAAGATCAACAAAAAAGATTATTTGCACTTTCATGTAAGCATGCTGCTGATAAGGCCTGTGAGCTTGTTACAATTATACCTCTATCGAAAGCGCCTTTTTTTTGCACAGTGTGCCAACTCTTTCACCCAGATTTAGGTGAATGTGGTCTGAATTACTGGACAGCATTGCTACAAGCCAGTGGTTTTGAGCCTGCAAATATTTGTCAGGCCAGTTTTGGACCTCCAGACCACACACAAAGCAGCACCGCAGCTGGCATCTTTTTCCAGAGCCTCACAGCAGAAATCTTCTCACATGCTGTGAGAAAGGAAGTCCGCTCCTCTTAAATTTTTAAGAGTTTTAATAAATGATAAGAAAGGATAATCATAAAGCAAATTTTGCTGTTACAAGTCTGGGTGCATGGCAAGACCAGAGACACACCCAATTCTTCAGTCTGCAGTCTTTTATACTGTTATAGTTCCTGTACTTTTACTTCCTTGGATGATTTTGCAGATTTATTTTGGGCTTGTTGACTACAATCTTGCTTCAGATTTTTGCGATGTTTGCACAATTCAATAGTTGCAGACACTGGCAGTCTAGGGTCTTCTGGGCAGTCTGATGGTCTTCTGACCCCACTTTAAACTTGTTACACTTCCTTTTATGGTCTTCTGCTCTTCACTTATTCCATTTTGGATATACATTTTGCAATAGCGAGGATATCTTCATATACATCTTTCACAAGCCCGCTTACATCTTGTGAAAGCCTTGCTTCCCCATTTACACTGCCCACAAACAAAAACTTGAAAAGCAGTTTAACACTTAATTAATTACAAACAATTACAGTTTTATAATTAACGCAAATAAATTTTAGTGAAAGCCAACTATTACGTAGCCGTTTATAACACGTGCCCTCTGCAGCTCTATAGAAGAACCCAGCTAGTTTTGGTATGAATAGGTAAACACCAGGCTGCCTGATGCCTGGGCTTGTGAACAGCTGTCAGTGCAAGGACTGGAGAAATCATGAGGGTATCCTGGTTTTGACTGAGATGGAGTAATTTTCTTCTTATTGGGTGATACTGTTCTGGGTTTTGGATTTAGCACAAGAATAATGTTGATAACACACAGGTATTTCAGTTGTTGCTGAGTAATGATTACCCTGAATCAGGGAGAACTGCTAAACCTAATAATTTTCTTAATTTGTAACAAGGTCAAGAATTTTTTACTGTAACAATTGTGGTATGTACCCTGCTTCATGATAGCATTCCTGCTGAAGGAAAAGAAGTATGCAGTGAGCAGAGTTTTGCCTAGTATCAAGAGTTTACGTATCAGGGCAAAGCGTTTGACGTATTGAATTTTCTCATCCTGTAGTCAGCTTTTAAAAAGAGAGGTCAAGATCTTCAAGAATAACTAAATTCCTAAACACTCCTAGAAATTATTATCTCTAGTGGGTGTTCAGCAGTCCCTTGAAGATGAATTTGTACCATCAGGTCACTCAATCACTTCTGAAGACTAAATGAGCATTCAGTGACTTTCAGAGGGGACTTAAGAACCTCAGCTTAAACATGGCTGTATCTCAGTTAACTGGTTTTAGGAGGGACTTTGTCTACCCCAGGGGATAAATATCTCTTTCTATTATCAATAGAAGCAATTTGTGCATCTGTCGTATGCAGGACACAGCAAGCTAGGTGGAATATATGGGACCCTAACGTATTTTGATTTTACATTGTTTCTTAACACTTGGAGTACTGGTTGAAGAATTACCAGCAAGTGACATCCAGTTGTGATGTTCCCATTATTTTCTTCCCTTGATTTTCATCACTTTTGCTCTGTAGTTTTCATTCTGATTTCTTAACTACCTGAAATAGTAGTTTGTGTTTAGTATTTTGATTCATATTATAATGGGGTAGAAGCAAACACATTCTCAGTGCTCACATCTCAGCTGAGAGATGATTTCTTGTCTAAATTGATGGCTGCAATCACATTTTTAATAACTACTCTGTTTTGTTCTGGTTTTGGCAGAACTCCTTCTTTAGAAATGTAACTCTATTAACAATACTTTCTCTTAATCATAATAGAGTTTTTGCTTGTAGACCATCTGTTTCCACTACTACACTGCCAGCTTTTTCCTGCCAGGTTTTCCCTGGTCTGGCCAACTTTTCTTGATGTATTATGTGCTCTTAAATAATAGTCAAAATTCAAATCAATCAAAATCTTTCTTTAGTCATTCAACTGGAAGTATTCAGATATGTAAAATTACACTGGGAAAGATTTGGTTTGAAAGGGCCCAGAGATCTTTGCTCTTTCTTTCATTCAGTGTCATCTTGTTTTGGTTTAGTTCAATGACCTTGTTTTTCTTTAACTATACATACACCCAAGATCTACAAAAGCAATATTCATATTCTCATCTTTATAATCCTAGTCCTGTGAGATTTTTTTGTTTGAGAAATCAATTGTGGGAATTCAACTAAACCCTGTGCAATCTATTGCTGCAGAAAAGCACAGAGGTGAGTGTTGCTCAGTTCTGTGATGGTACATAATATTGCACATGCTGAAACAGGAGTCAAATACCTTTGGAACTTTGTAGAATATTCTCAGTCCATGTAGGGATACCTCCTAGCAGCCTTCCAGTACCTGAATGGGGCTTATAGAGAGCTGGAGAGGTACTTTTTACAATGATATGGAGCTGTGGGACAGGGGGCAATGGCTTCAAACTGGACAAGGGTACTCTTAGATTAGATATTCGAAAGAAATTATTTACTCAGAGGGAGGTGAGGTGCTGGAACAGGTTGCCCAAAGAAGCTGTGGATGCCCCATCCCTCGAAGGGTACAAGGCCAAGCTGGACAGAGCTTTGAGTGATCTGGTCTAATGAAAGATGTCCCTGCCCGCAGAGTAGGGGAGGTTGGACTGGATAAAGTCCCTTCCAACACAGGGCATTCTATAACTGTATGATATGAATATCCTTTTTCTTCCTTGTTTTGTTGGAATTTTTTGTTATTTCTTTTTCCGCTGCCTCAACTGTCACACAAATCAGAAAAAGCAGATTTTGTTTAGTGCTTCTTTTTGTGTGTGCCATATCTGCATGATCAAGGATGGGAACCAAACTTAACTGCATAAGTGTTGTTAGTCTTCAGGAGAAGAATAAAGATGGTTTTGTGAAAAATAAATTACTTTACCTGAACCATGCATGGTCAGTGCCTAAAGCACTGGAAATGGATCAGAACCAATATGCTGTTTCTGGATAAAGCTGAGCTTTTCTCAGAAAACTGAAGAAGTTCAGCTACTTATGTTTCTCAGTGGGTAACAGTTTTGTGAGTGGTACCTCACACTTTAGAGAGAGCTCCTTGGCCAGTCTACATATATTTGGATTCCTTTGCTCCATGAGAGTCATCACAGGGAATATGTTGAAGAGCTAAGATTGTTGGTGGAAAGAGGGAGTTACAGGTACAAGAACATACATTAGTGATATCTGTATGCTTCAAACATAACAGTGTATACAGTTATTTACAAGTATACAGACTTTTTCTTATTTTTCACATTAAATACTTCTGTCATCATATCTGTTGAAGGGCAGGCTGTGTAATACAGAATCACAATAAAGCACCAACTTGCAGGGAGCAGAGCAATAACCAGAACCAGTAAGCCTGGATTCAACTTCTGGTCTTTCACCTGCTAACTTTTCTTCCCTCCACCCATTAATTGTTCCAACTCCTCAGCATATGTTTTCACGTGCCAAAGGAAACCATGCATCCACACTTGGCTGTCCAGGTCACTTGGGCTGTCAGACCTGCTGCATTGAATATCCCTTTTCTGCTGGATTTTCCCCACAGAGGAGGCACCATCCATAGTCTTTTTGCTGTTGAGATGCTAGGTTTTGAAAAATTCATTGGGACTTTTGCCTATTGTTTACCATAAATTGAAATTGGATTAAAATTAAATATAGTGGATAAAAAAAAAATTAAAGGACACATGAATAATTTCAAATTCCTTTTTTTTTTTTTTAAAATGTCACCTTCTTGAACTTTCTAAAAGAGTTCAAGGTATTTTTCTTCTGTTTTTTGTTTGGGTGGCTTTCTTTTCCCCTTAAATAGCTGATTTCTAATAAATGCATTTGTTTAAAACAATAATTATCCTTGTAAACATTTTTAATATCCAAACCTTCATGAGGTCCTACCACAAAATTAAAAAAGATATGACAAATTTTAACATATAATTATGATTTTAACCCCTACAACTTCAAGGATAAAAAAATATTAAAAAAAAATCCCCAAACCATCCAATCAAACAAAAAAACCCCCACCAAAACAACA